CGGAAGTGGCACTGTGGCTCAAGTGAGCTGAAGAGCTGAGGGACAGCTCCCAGGCCCAAAGCTCAAACCCCAAGACCAACCAAAAAAAAAAAAAAAAGAATCTCTTGGATTTGTCTGCTCAGGTTGGTTGCTCTCAGATCTGTCTCTTATGTGGCTAGGATTATCAGTGTGAGTCACCAGCTCTTGGCTTGGCTTCCTTTATCTTTTTAATATATAGTTGCTTTCTTACAGATGAAATATAAGTTCCCTTATTAGTTATATGATTTGCAAATATTTTCTTCCTTTTTTTGAATTGTCTTTTAACTTTTACAGTATGCTTTGAAGGAAAAAAAGTGTTGGATTTTATAGTAAGGCTGCAAAAGCAAGAGGTGATAGGAATTAAGTTGTATCCAACTTCTCTGTATTAAAAAAGGCTTTTAATTTTTAGTTAAGAGCATTAAGAAAACAAATTCAATAGAACATTAAACAGTTACTCACAGGGTAGCCTTTCTCCTTGCTTTTTGTCCCTCTTCCTATCCTTTCTTCCCTTCCTTCCCCCATCCCTTTCTTCCTTTCTTTGAATGCATTCTCTCTCTCTCTCTTTCTCTCTCTCTCTCTCTCGTGCTCGCTCTCTCTCTCTTTGGTATTACTGAAATTGAATCCAAAGCTTCCTCCTTACTAGTCAAGTGTTCTACTACTTGAACCACACAACCCACAGTAATAAGCAGTTAAGGTCACATTAAGGTTAACACAGTTGTCAAGTAAAGTTCTTATATTTCAATAAAATATTGCTGAAAATGGAAATTATAATTAGAAAGATATCATTATATTAGAAAGAATAATATGACCAGTTCCTCATATTAATTTTGTATAATGAAAGCTTACATAAAAGAGTACTTATGTTGAAAATATTGCCAGTTGTATTCACTTTTACATGAAATACAGAAACAGTAGAGCTTTAAACTTTTTTACTAATTGGTCCTTGACTAACGTCAAGAACTTAAAATTAATATAAACCAGTTAATTCTGTCAAAATAAATTAGTATCATTTAAGCTCGGGATTTTCTTGATATTTCCAAGTGCTGTTAAGTAACAAGAAGAGTTATGAATGAATACCAGGCTTGCTCTTTATTAAAAATATATTATTGCTGATGCCTATAATCATAGATACTTGGAAGACTGAGATCAAGAGGGTTTGTGATCAATTGTAGTCCAGGAAAAAGATTCATAAGATCTCATCTGAGTAGGAAAGGCTGGTGGTCGGCAACTGTCATCCTACCTATGGCAGGCAGTGCAAATAAGAAAAATGTAGCCAGACAAGTTGGAACAAAAATCAAGACCCTACCTCAAATCTATAATGCCCAGGCCTATAATTCTAGCTACTCAGGAGGATGAGATCTGAGGATTATGGTTTGAAGCCAGTGTAAGCACACAAATTTGTAATCCTTTCCTCCAATTAACCAACAAAAAATGAGAAGAGGCTGGGGGCCAAGGGCTCACACCTGTAATCCTAGCTACTTAGGAGACTGAGATCTGAAGATCAAGGTTTGAAGCCAGCATAGGCAGGAAATGCCATGAGACTCTTATCTATAATTAATCACACACACACAAAAAAACAGAAGTTGAGCTTTGGCTCAGTTGGTAGAGCACTAGCATTGAGCAAAAAAGCCCAGGGACAGCACCTAGGTCCTGAGTTAAGCCCCAGGAATGAAAGCGCGACACACACACACACACGCACGCACGCACGCACGCATGCATGCACGCACGCACGCGCGCGAAGTGGAGGTGCAACTCAAGTGGTATAGCATCAGCCTACCACTTAAAAAAATCAAACAAAATATTAAAAATGATGGGGCTGGGAATGTGCCTTAGTGGTAGAGTGCCTGCCTGGCATGCATGAAGCCCTGGGTTCCATTCCTCAGTATCATATAGACAGAAAAAGCCAGAAGTGGTGCTGTGGCTCAAGTGGTATAGTGCTAGCCTTGAGCAAAAGAAGCTCAGGGACACTGCCCAGACCCTGAGTTCAAGCCCCAGGACTGGCCAAAAAAAAAAAATGACCAGCAATTTATAGCTAAGAATATGCACAAGAAAATATAAAACATGAAAAAATAAAACATGCATCTATGTAAAAACATGTACATGTATTCAAAGCAACATTATTTATGAAAGCTCCAAAGTGGAAATATACAAAATATCCATGTGATAAATGGATTTATAACATAACCATATGGCAGAATTCTATTCATCCATTTAAGGGATAAAGTACTGACATATTACAACATGAATAAACCTTGAAAACATCATGGTAAGCAAAAGCAGCCAAACATACAAAACCTTATGTAGTTCATATGGTAGTCCCATTCATATGATGTATCCTAAAAGTTAAATCTACAGAGACAGAAAGAAAACTGTGATTGCCTAGGACTAAAGGAGCTAAGGGATTGAATACAACTACTAATGAGTATAGGATTTCTTTCTGTATAATAAAATTTTCCTGGCTGGGTGTAAGTGGCTCACGCTTATAATCCTAGCTACTTAGGAGACTGAGATCTGAGGATCACAATTCAAAGCCAACAGGCAGGAAAGTCCATGAGACCAAAAAAGCTGGAAGTGGAGATGTGGCTCAAGTGGTGGAGCACTGCCCCTGAGCATTGTTGCTCAAGGCTTTAATCAATATAACATGCTAAAAAGACATACTTTTCTTATACTGTAAAATAATTTAAGTCAAGTATAGTGGCTTCTGCCTGCAATATCAGCTACTTAAGCAGCTGAGATATGAGAATCATTGCAGACCAAGAGTAAAAAGACAAGCCTAGGCAACATGTAAAACCCTGTCTCAAAAGAAATAATTTTTAATTTCTAGTGAGCATAATACTTTAATTTTCTGGCACTTTGCTGTAAATGATCCTCAAATTCTCTTCCCTGAATCTACTAGAAAGGTAAGAGTACTGGGAACCTGTAAGGCAAAGAGAGACAAAGGGCAAAGGCTACAGCCTTAATGTACATGTCTAGCTATTTTTTTTTTTGGGTCCAGTCATGGGGCTTGAACTCTGGGCCTTGACACTGTCCCTCAGCTCTTCAGCTCAAGGCTAGCGCTCTACCACTTGAGCCACAGCACCACTTCTGGCTTTTTTCTTTTTGCTTATGTGGTGCTGAGGAATCGAACCCAGGGCTTCAGGCATGCAAGGCAAGCATTCTGCCACTGAGCCACTTTCCCAGCCCCTGTCTAGCCATTTTTACTTTAGTTATTTTTCAGATAGGGTTTGATGCTTTGTGCCCAGACTGACCCTGGACCTTAATGGTCCCACCTTTACCTCCTGAGTACCTAGGATTTTAGGTGTGTATCACCATGTCCAGCCTTCTGACCCCCCTATTTTTCAAGACAAGAGTCCTGCTATGTAGCCCAGGCTGTCCTCAAACTCATGATGATCCTTTTGTCTCAGCCTCCCAGGTTCTGTGATTACAGATACATGCCACCAAAGCCAGTTAAATGTATCTATTTTTCTAAAGCCAGCATGCTTCCACTGATGAACAAACAGTTAACTTCTAAAGGGATATTATCTGAATCAACAATTCACTTAAAAATACTTATCCAAACAATAAAAGTTATATTAAAAACAAACCAAAACATCAATACTTACCCCAGATCTGTAAGTGGAGGTTTATCTCTTCCTCTTCTATAGCAAAGGTAAATCTGGGGCCCCACGAGACTTCCATTATTAAGATCTGCTGACAATCCAGTTGGGGTGACATCAATACACATGTAATCCCGTGGCACTTCCTCCCCAAGAGATTTAATGATAACTGAAACATCAGTGATAGGTTCTTTTGGTTTTGCTACTTTATGACAGGCATCATTGAAGTGAATTTCTTCTTCAAGAGGCTTTGAAACATCAGTTAATCCTGCTACAACAAAGTAGTCAGCAACACGAGGCCCCTTGTCTTCAATCATCTTCCATTACAGAAGGTTACATCTGAAAAGAGAATAACACTGGTATTGGGCTGGGAAGGTGGCTCAGTGGTAGAGTGCTTGCCTTGCATGCATGAGGCCCTGGGCTCAATTTGTCAGCACCACATAAGCAGAAAAAGCCGGAAGTGGTACTGTGGCTCAAGTGCTAGCCTTGAGCTGAAGAGCTGAGGGACAGTACCCAGACCCAGAGTTCAGGTCCCACGACTGACCAAAATAGAAAACAAAAAAAAAAAAAAACTAAAACTGGTATTTTACTATAATAAACCTATTAGTATAAGTGACTAGTGTATAATTAAGAGAAAAAATACTATAAATACTGCTACCTACTTGATATTCACAACAATATTACATACTGGCTTTGGAAGTGAATTGCATGTATTTTTCCAAAAGAGTATTTCAACATTCATACATACATTCATTCTTAAATACATTCATATATACACATATAAATTAGTGTATAAATTTCTAATTTGGGTACCACAGAAACCTAAATTATCTAAATCCTTTTAAACATATAGGTTAGCCAGGAGTGGTGGTACGTACCTATAATCCCAACAGCAAGGAGGCTGAGCCAGGAGGGTAGCAAGTTAGAGACCAGCCTGGGCTATAGAGCAAATGCCAGGCCAGGCTGAACTAAAAGGGTGAAACCCTGCCTGGAAAGAAAAAAAAAATTAAATGTATAGATTAAATTGTAAGACTATAATGGAATTTCCAGGTCCTCAAAGACTGAGAAAACCCAAAGCCAGAATGCAATGTGTGAGCTAATATCAGGTAGGGAGTTTTGCTGACTAGTAATTAGGGGATTTTTGTTTAGAGGTATTATAAGGACAGGAGATGAGGCCTTGGAACTACAAGAGGCTCCACATGACTATAACTCCAGTTAATGAGTGGATTTTAGCCGGGTACCAGTGGCTCATGTCTGTAATCCTACCTACTCAGCTAAAGAGCTCAGGGACAGCACCCAGGCCCAGAGTCTAAGCCCCACACCGACTAAAAGAAAAAAAAAAAAGAATGAATTTTAAAACAAACATATTTACTGAGCTAAGGATGTGGACAGTGGTAAAGTACTTGCTGAGCATATGTGAAGGCACTGAGTTCAATCTCCAGCACTGCAAAAAAAGAAGAAAAAAAAAAGAAAGAAAGAAAAAGTCTATCCAAGGATTAAGGGCTTAAACTATCTATGTGGCTACAGAAAGCTCCAACTGACAATTTAATAATAAAAGTGTTTTCAGGCTATTGCAAATAAAAAATACCTCAGATAAGCTTTCCACAGATAAAGCCCAGGTAAATAAATCCCCACTCTAAAGCCATATAAATATATAAGAAAAAGTGACCATGAATGAGTCTTAGCAAATACATAAAACAAATTCAAAAATAAGAGTATGAAACAGAAGTACATATTTATATTAAATTCAAAGAAAAATACATAAA